ACAATTTAGGAATGCATCTTGCACATGGCGATTATCTGCAGGATCCCACTGGTAAAGTGTCTGTAAAATAAGAAATAAATAACATTAGATGTCTGAGAAATGTAAATTTTAGTTTAATAATGAAATTATTTATTTTTATTAGAAATTGCTAAATCCATTCATTTTATTAAATTTGCTAAAACTTAATCTTACCTTGAAACAATTATAAATTTCACCAATCTTGCTCTGGGGGACACGCTCGTATGTGAAATACGGGCCATCAAAATGTGACTTGCATAGTGAAGTGATAGCCCGAGGGATGTTTGGATCAGCAAACTGGAGCTTATCATCAGTGAGTTTAACCCATTACCTGCTCTCTCTATTTTCTGGAGGGCGTATTCCTTTGAAATTCCTGCTCCATCCTTTTTTCCCCGTCGAGGATGAAGGGTCCTCGTTCTCATGATCAGGTGAAAAATTATAATTCATTAATGGATCAATCGTTTGCTGTATATTCGGAGCTACGGTACTATCAGTAAACAGCTGTGGGTGATTAAAATTGTGTTGCTCTTGTGATCCTGAGGAGGAAGATCTCCTCCTTGATGAACCTGTAGGATTTCCAGACATCTTGAAAAATGAATAACAAAATAGTTATTAATACATTTATACAAATAATAAGTAACAAATTTAGAACAATCATACAATGATTCTATTTTAAATGAAAAATAGATAACTTGATAAAACAATATATATAAGACAAAGAAATTTTAATACATATATTTAATAAGTAATAATATAGATGTTTCAATTAATCATCACTATCATCGCTATCATCACCATCCTCAACATTATCACTATTTCCTGAGGATTCTAAATCTTTTTCTTCTCCATAGTCCTCCTTTTCTTCAGATGTATTAGCATCAACCTCAACTTCTGTAACACCTTCTGCACATAGTTGAAGTGATTGGTATGCAATTAAATCTATAGCTAATGAAGAGCCTTGCATTATGGAGGGGTCATCATCTTGAAAAATATCATCAACCTCTCCTGAAGATGAGGTAGATGAGGTCTCAATTAGATGTCTAGATTTGATTTTACATGCTGCCAACCATCCCCGGGTAGTTCTATCCGTGGCTGCCGGATATAGAGTATAATAAACTTGTTGTGCTTGACTAGCAAGGCAAAATGGGTCCCCTGTTGAAAGTTTAAACCTTGGATTGACATCAACAATTCCGTGTTCAACATTGACATGTATTCCTCGGTTCGTGTCATACCAATCACAATTAAACAAT